CACGTGCTCTTCTTCGGCGGCCCAGGGTTTTGCTGGTTCAGATCCTGGGCGCGGAGTACCACTCATCAAGCCATGCTGAGGCGGTGTCCCACATAGCACAACTAGAAGGACCTACAACTGGAATATACAACTCTGTACTGGAGGGCATTGGGGAGAAGAAGAAGAAGAGGAAAAAAACAAAAAAAATTGGCAACAGGTGTTAGCTCAGGTGCCAATCTTTAAAGAAAAAAAAGATTGTAAAGTCAAACTTTAATATCTTTCTTACAAACTTTTAATATCACTTACTTCCTTATGGTACAGTTATTTGTATCTCTGTCTCTTGCTACCCTGAACTCCTTGAGGACAGGGACCCTTTCTTAATCTTCTTTGCATGCCTCACATCTTGGAGAGTACCTGGCACATAGTAGACTGTCAATAAATGTTTGCTGAGATAGGTCACTTATGTTGATAATTGGCTAAGTAGGTTAAACCTGCCATTTTTCAAAGTTTTCAGTTATCAGGCCTCATAGAGAGGCCAGAGTTTCCTTAGTATTGCCAGAATCTGATTTGTGCAGAGAGAAGCATCTTATCCAGTCATATTTATGTACACAGATCACAGGTGTCCTCTGGGAGAATGGGAAATGGAACAGAGTCACAAGCTGCCTTTAAAAGATAACACAGATCCTTTTAGCTCTTTGTAGCACCCAGGGCTGACTGTTCTATAGATAGAGTCACACTGAAACTATAATTGAAGCTGGAAAATAGGTGAAATGTAAGGCAATCAGCTACAAACCTAACCTATTCTGGTAGAACCATGTTTTCTAGGCAGGTAATAAAATTATAAGCCCAATTGTGGCACTTAACAATATGAATATCTTTATGGACCAAATGTGACATTTGTAAAATTGATTGGTTTTTAGTTTGTTTAGATATTTTTACTGCTGATATGTAAAATGTCTCTGTGTTTTTGCTTTTTGGTCATGTAGTATGATTTTAATTGATAAATAATGTATACCATAAAATCATAATTTGTAACTGTGCAGTTCAGTAAATTATCAGAAAGTGAAAATACCTGTGTAACCACAACTCAGTTCAAGAAATAGAACATTACCAACCCTCTCAATAATTTTGAAAGTTACCATATGGATCTAGCAATTCTACTTCTGAGTATATATTCTAAAGAAGTGAAAAATTCAACAGATTTTTGAAAATTTTATGTCATTGCTAGTATTCACTAGTTTCTCATTGTACCTAAAATCTATCATTCAAGTCTTTTTTAAAAAAATTATTTTGATAAGGTATACATATCGTAAAATTTACTGTTTTACCATTTCAGTGGCATTAAGCACATTCACATTGTTCTACAACCATCATCACCCTCCATCTCCAGAACTTTTTTTCATCTTCTCAAACTGAAATTCTTTTTTTTTTTCTTTAAAGATTGGCACCTAAGCTACAACTGTGGCCAGTCTTTTTTTTTTCTTTTTATGCTTTATCTTCCCAAATCCCCCCTGGTACATAGTTGTATATCTTAGTTGCACGTCCTTCTAGTTGTGGCATGTGGGATGCTGACTCAACGTGGCCTGATGAGCCGTGCCATGTCTGCGCCTAGGACCCGAACCAGCGAAATCCTGGGTCGCCACAGTGGAGCGTGTGAACACTCGGCCACGGGGCCGGCCCCCAAACTGAGATTCTGTACCCGTTATATACTGACTCCCCATTCCTCTCTGCCCCAACCCCTGGCAACTACCATTCTACTTTTCTCCCTGAGTTAGACTACTCTAGATATGTCATATAAGTGGAATTATATAGTATTTGTCCTTTTGAGACTGACTTATTTCACTTAACATGTCTTCAAGGTTCATGTGTGTTATAGCATGTGTCAGAATTTCCCTCCTTTTAAAGGCTGAATAATAATATTGTATGTACATACCACATTTTGTTTATCCATTCATCCATGATGGACACTTGGGCTTCTTCCACCTTTTGGCCGTTGTGAATAATGCTGCTATAAACATGGGTGTATAAATATCTGTTCAACTCCCTGCTTTCAGTTCTTTTGGGTATATAACCAGAACTGGAATTGTTGGCTCATATAGTAATTCTCTTTTTATTTTTGGAAGATTAGCCCTGAGCTAATATCCACTGCCAATCCTCCTCTTTTTGCTGAGGAAGATTGGCTCTGAGCTAACATCTGTGCCCATCTTCCTCTGCTTTATATGTGGGATGCTGTCACAGCAGGCCTTGAGGAGTGGTGTGTAGGCCTGTGCCTGGAATCCGAACTGGCGAACCCTGGGCTGCTGAACTGGAATGCACAAACTTAACTGCTATGTTACTGGGCCGGCCCCAAGATGTAGTACTTTTATATGAGTTACAGTTTTTAGTTTGTTGACTCTTTGAGCAAGAACTCTGCTTTTTTTTTTTTTTTGAGGAAGATTAGCCCTGAGCTAACTACTGCCAATCCTCCTCTTTTTGCTAAGGAAGACTGGCCCTGAGCTAACATCCGTGCCTATTTTCCTCTACTTTATATGTGGGACGCCTACCACAGCATGGCTTTTGGCAAGCGGTGCCATGTCCGCTCCTGGGGTCTGAACCGGCAAACCCCAGGCCACCGAGAAGCGGAATGTGCAAACTTAACCGCTGTGCCACTGGGCTGGCCCCGAACTCTGCTTTCTTTAAACCATTAATATTTTTTCTTTCTGATATTTGTTGACATTTTTATGTACCATAAACAGTACAATAGGCCACTTCCTTTAGTAAATAAGGTGAGCGTAGTTCTGGGGTTACCTTCTGTTTGATTTATTTGTTTGTTTAAACTTGCCATTTTAAGGGACTCTTGAAGATATACCTAAAGGAGGACACAGGATGAAAATTTATCTACAATTTGTCCACGTATCTGATAGAATGTGCTGGTAGAGATGTTAACATTTTGACTTTTTTTGAGGTGTGGAGTAATAGATTTGCAACTATGAATTTCCTTAATACTGACCTCAGTGTTAAGATGAGAATCCACTTACGGAGTACAGAAATCCTCTACTGGCAAAATCAAGTTGTTACTTTGTAAGTTCTTTCACATTGGGTCATCTGGAATTCTCAGTTACAACAGAGCCAACGAAAGGCTGTGGGAAAGGAGGGAGAGGAACACACAATTATTAACTCCTTTTCCCCCTTTAGTTGTCTTAATGTGCACAGAAGACTCCCGTATACAGTATACCCTGTGGCACTTGATAACATCAGAAGGAAGTCTTGTTCAAGATACCGAGAAAGGGACACCCTGTGGTTTAAGATTCTGTCAATATTCAGGTGTAAGAATATAATTCTATTGTCAAGCACAGATTCAATGAGTTAAAGCCTGAGCTAGGTCTTTCGCTATAGCTTTGTTGATATTTTTTCTGTGCATTATTTTACTAATTAACAGTTTTCTTTTGCTTGAAGATAGCTTATATCCTTGTTTGGTAAATAACCTCAGCAGCTAACAGAGGGTTCAGAGTGATGAATAGTGACACTAAAATTATTTCCCATTCTCCTCGTGTTGTTGTGATAGTAGTAGTGGCAGTGGTCATAATATGGGTAGTAATATAATGACTCTTATATAGCGTTTACAGTGTGCCAGGCAAAAGTGAAGTGCTTTACATGTGTTAACTCATTTAATCCGGAAAGCAACCCTATGAGATAGATGATAGTATTATCCTCGTTTTACTGATGAGAGATTGAGGCACAGAGAAGTTAGTAACTGACGACTCCAAGTACGAATAACTAGTAAGTGGCAGAGCTAGGAATTGATCTGAGGCAGCCTGGCGCCAGGGTCCTTCCTCCTAACCATTATGCTGTACTGTACTTATTTGACACCCATGTAAGTAAAGGGAAATGTGAGATAAAAAATGCTTTTAACATCTTTGTGGGCTCTATGGAACTTATTATTTGTTCATTCAGTGCTCCCTGTAGAATCAGTGATTACAGAGGGAACATTTAATCTCAAAGCATTCATCCCTATTTTCAAACTAGTATTTTCAGATCTGTTCTTTATCTGAGACCTTGCATTTAGAAAAAGTACACTTGAACTTTTTAGTTGAATTTGGCATGTCACGAGCTTACAGACAGGATATTGCCTTTGAGTGTTTAGACTGTACGTGCTGACCCCCTGAAGCAGTAATTTGAATAGATCACAATGTTTCCACTAGAGTACAGCAGTATTAGGGGTTCTGACTTCAAAGTGTTTGTGTGTATGTTTTATATATATGTCTTTGTAGATAGGCCACTTCTCCACAAATGGAGCCAATCCTATACAAATTCTAAAAACCTTTCAGAGCCATTTAAATCCAAGAAGTATCTAATCATTTGAAGTAGAACTATGAGGGGCTGGCCCAGTGGTGCAGCGGTTAAGTTCGAGTGCTCCACTTCAGCGGCCAGGGATTTGCTGGTTCAGATCCGAGGCGCAGACCTACGCACCGCTCCTCAAGCCATGCTGTGGCGGGTGTCCCGCATAGAAAGTAGAGGAAGGTGGGCACAGATGTTAGTTCATGGCCAGTCTTCCTCAGCAAAAAGAGGAGGATTGGCAGCAGATGTTAGCTCAGGGCTAATCTTCCTCAAAAAAATAAATAAATAAAAAATGAAGTAGAACTGTGAGCAATGCAAAACGTTACCTTTCTGGAGACTTGTGATAAGTAGAATAAATAAAGCAACCTGCCCATTTTTAAATGCTTCAGGTTCAGGCCTAAAGAACTACCAGTTAATCTTGTAGAATTAGTTCTCACTTAGGCACTGGTTTATGTGCACTTTTGATCTTTAAGTCTCAGCTGATAGGCACTATTTGATAAGAAAGCCAGTGCTCTGTTTTCTTCTGCTTCCTTGGTCTTGAGTTTTGTGTCTCTGGCTGTGCTCTGGTTAGAGCACATCTACCCCGGTACTTTGGGTCAGTCAAGTGTTTGGCAGGAGTGAGGGACAGACCACCATTTCCACCTTCCAAGTGTTGCATTTTATGGAGGCAGATGACTTTCTCATGATAATTTTCTTTCCCCTAGGTTTATGAAGGCCTAGACATTATCACCAACAAAGTTTCTGCCCGGGAGCAGAGAATGTGCCAGCACCACATGATCAGCTTTGTGGATCCTCTTGTGACAAATTACACAGTGGTGGACTTCAGGAACAAGGCAACTGCTCTGATATCCTTAGAAAAGACAGCAGCTAGGCTTGGTGGGTGCAAGGCAGCCCAAGCCAAGAAAGACGTTTTCTTTCTAGTGACCGTTTCTTCTAAGCAGGGGCCCCCAAGACCTAACTACCAATAAGTAGCATCCCCATCAGAACTACATGGTTTGGAAGATAACAGTGTCCTTGCTGCTCAGAGTCTTGTCCTCAGACTGCACCATCAGCGTCCCTTGGGGGCTTCTTAGACTTCGTGAATTTGGGCCTCACTCCAGACCTACTGAATCAGAATCTGCTTTTAAGCAAGAGTCCCAGGTGATTCGTGTGCACATTGAAATTTGAAAAGCGCTGTTTTAATGGAGAGAACACTGATTTAGGAACCAGAAAATCTATGTTCTAGTCCTAGAACTGCCTGTTTTGACCATGTGAATTTTATTAGGTAAAGCTTTTAACGCTGCCCGCCCCCCCCCCCGCCCACCCCCTCCCCCACGCTCGCACTTCATTTTTACACTCTTTAAATGGGGACAAAAAATTAATTTTAAATGTAATGGAGTTACAGTTAGAATTTCAAAGGGATTGTTGGGTGGAGGACTGGAAAAAATTAGTTCTGGGTAACACCAACAAGGTTTTGAAAAAAGAACAGTATAGGGGGGACTGCCCTTGTATTTTAATCAGATTGCCCTAAATATCTGGATTGTCAGATGTTAAAACATATTGAAAATTCATAATAATTATAATAGCATGGAACTTATATAATACTAGACAAATTTGTGGGACAGAATGGAAAACTCAGATACAGATTCAAATGAGTATATATTTAGCTTATGATCAAGGTGTTAATGGAGAAATAATGCAGCGGTTAATAATTATTCCTGGGATAGTGATTGTTTTGGGAAAAAATAAAATCATGTCTTCATTATATATGACATGAATTCCAGGTGGATTTCACAGTTAAATATATGTATTTTTAGTCTTCCTTTTTTGTTGTTTTTTTGCAGGGAAAGAGTCACCCTAAGCTAACATCTGTTGCCATTCTTGCTCATTTTTTTTTTTTTACCTCCCCAAAGCCCTAGTGCATAGTTGTATATTCTAGTTGTAGGTCGTTCTAGTTCTTCTATGTGAGCTGCCACCACAGCATGGCAACTGACAGACGAGTGCTGTGGCTCCTCGACTGGGAAGTGAACTCGGGGTCGCCGAAGTGGTGAGCAGCGCCGAGCTTTAACCACTGGGCCATCAAGGTTGGCTCTAAATAGATGTATTTTTAATGAAACTTTAAAGCAAATGGAATAATATGTAATTGAGTAGTTATGTGATTTTAGAGTAGCCCTTTAGGGAAGGGCTTTGTAGATACAGTCTTTTAAAAATTTTTAAAATTATTTTTCAGTTTTTTTCTTTTTTTCGTGTTAAAATACACATAATATAAAATTTACTGTCTTAACATTTTTAAATGTATAATTCAGTGGTATTAAATCCATTCACATTGTTGTACAGCCATCGCCACCATCCATCTCCATAACAATTTCTTTTTTAAGGAAAATAGCTAGATTTGAATAGGTAAGAATTAAGAATTTATACTAGCGACAATGTGTATCAACCAGACCTTCTAGGTTTCTACCCTAGAGAAACCTCACCACAAGTGTACCAGGAGCTATACGTGGTGGATCTCATTCATGATAGCATTGCTCTTAACAGCAAAAACGCATTAAACACCTGAATTCCTACTTACAGAAGAATGTATAAAATTTGTTTTGTTTGTGTAAATTAAGTACTTTTTCAGCAGCGAAACTGAATAAATTGTAGCTACGTGCATCAATGTGGAGTAATCTAGAAACACTGTAAAATGTGGGAGATATAGAAGGATTACATACATGTTCGTACCATTTATTATAAAGATTGAAAAGCAAGTAGAACTAACCAATATGTTGTTTAGGAGTACATACATATCAGTAATAACGTAAAGAATAGGAAGAGAATGATGAAAAACAAACAAAAAACCTCAAAACAATTCAGGATAGTGGTTCCCTCAGAGAGGGGAAGTAGGGAATTGGAGTGGAAATGAATACACAGAAAGCTTCAAATGAATTGTTAATAGTCCCTTTTTTGCATTGGGTTCATGAGTGTTAGTTTTATTGTTAGGCTTCATAATTTATAGAAATTGCATATGTTCTTTTCTATGTATTGAATGTTTTATAATTAAAAACAATAAGGAAAACAGCCTACTATAAACAAAATTAAAACACAGACTACAAACCAGGGAGATAATATTTGGAACAGAGGAAAGGCACATGGTTAATATACCTAGTATATGAAGAACTCTTATGAATCAATATGAAAAATGCTTAAAGGGCACGAATAGTAATTCAGAGAGGAAGAAATGTAATGGTGATAAACGTGGAAAAAGCTTTACCCTTGCTAGTAATCAGGGCCATGCAAATCAAAATAATGAGATTTTTTTTTTGACTATCAAATGGTCAGAGATTAAAATGCAGATAATTCTTGCCCTACCTGCCTTACAAGGCAGTTGTATGTGATGAGATAATGTGTATGAAAACCCTCTGTGAATTAAAACATATCACCAAATGTATGTTGTTGCTCTAAGACAGTTGGGCTGTTCAGAAAGAGCTGACAGAAAATGGAGGGCTAATTAAACTTCTCACAGGGCAGCAACGGCAGGGCATGACTTAATCAGGTCCTGTAGAGAGTTGCAGATTTGGGACTTTAGCTGAGAACCTAAAATCAGAATGTCAGAGTTGAAAGTACCTTAAGGATCCAGTCGATCCTCTTGATTTGACAGGCGAAGGTACTAGATACTGAGGCCCAAAGGGGAGGAGGGTTTTGGCCAGGATCACAGTTGTTTCATGGTTGGGCAAACAAGTTAGACCTTTTCCCACCAAACGTCTCCTATCCCGTCTCCCTCCCTCTTGTCTACTCTCTCCTCTTCTGCTATTGCACCATTTTTCTCTTCACCTTTTTTTCCCTTGCTCCCTTTCCCTTTGTTAATCATATTATATATTTAAAGTTTTATTGGAATTACTGTGTAGTTGTACACTCCCTGTAGTTGGGGGAGTATAGAATTTGTTTCCTTTTTAAAAAAGAAATAGACAAGCAGTGTTTCTTCTTCATGATCCTTGATTGGTAACATCTTTCTCTCCACCCTACTCCAGCCTCTTAAGGGTTAGTGGGCTTCTGAGAGGAAAGAGGTCGTCTATCCCTGTGCCCACAGACTGGCTGGCAAGGGGAAGAAGAAGTGTGTAAATGAGTCTTTTTATCTGGGTTGAAAGTCTCTTTTTATCGGTTATTCTCAGAAGCAAAGCCTTTCTTAAAGTAGATAATTATCTGTTCAACAGAGATTCTGAAGAGAAGAATTTAAAGTAGCAGGGGTATAAAAACAATAAGGGCTAAAGTAAATTGAGTGCTTACTCAAGTGAAAAAAATATTTCAGGCATTGTGGTAGGGGATTTACTTGCATTGTCACGTTTCATGCTCATAAGAACTCATGAGGCTTTTACAGGTGAGAAAACTGAAGCTCAGGCAGGCTGAATAACTTGCCCAAGAGTTGGAGCTGGTAGTTGAAATCTGTTTGTCTTCAGAACCCATGCTTCTCAGTTTATCTGGTGGAGTCTCAAGTGGCTGAAATGTACACTACTACTGCGTAATAGTGAAGGCTGACTGAGTCTAAGAACCATGGCTTTAAGAAGCCAGCTTGTAATTGGACTTAGAAGGCAAAGTTCCACAACGGACATCACCTTGGTGGTGGCTTCCTGAGCAGCTGACATTTGGTTGTGAGTCCTTGGGCTTATGCTCATTAAACTGACTTGGAATACCAGGCAAGCTTTGAATTTTAGCAGCAAGGCCTAGAAAGTTCCAGAACTGGAAGGAGTTACTATCATGCATTTGTCTCTATGGTTTATGCAAGTGTCTTCAGAACTGATAGGAAATGATTCTGAAGACTCAAAGGAAACATCTTGGTTTCTACCCTTTCTCCTCTGCTCTCTAGCAACCAAATGAATGTGGTTTCTTGCCAATACCCTCCTTCCCAAGTGAATCAGGATTCTCTTCTGATATTAAATATTGTGATGTCTTTCTTAATATTCACATTGAAGATATATTTGCCCGAGACAAAATTCCTATTGTCGTGGGAGGAACCAATTACTACATTGAAGCTCTGCTCTGGAAAGTTCTTGTCAATGCTAAGGTATGTTTAGTTCACTTGTAACTCACTGAACTGAGGAAATGGGTTCCTCTTTCTTGCCAGCTAATTTTAGTGGGAGGAAGGTTGACTCTTGCCTATTTCTTATACTCAACAACTGTAATTTTCCTACTTAATAATCTGAAGCAAATGCCGCCTCCGTATGTGAAGTGTGCTCCTCCAGGCTGGCCTCAGGGCAGGGGCTGTGTGTGGGAAAAATGCTTCTCTGTGGGTTAATTAGCATCTCCATGTAAGTTAACTGTACATTAGTCTGATTCAGCATTTCCTGGCTATAACGATCTATATGTCAGGGAGAAGTCCAACTGTGACTTTTCTTACAGAGGTGCTATTGCATAGGGTGGGCCTTTGCAAACTGTAATGTGCTGGCACTTCTGGTCCACTCTCAGTCTCTCTTGCTGAGAAGACTAGACTCTTGGATATGTTAATACAGATGTGTTAGCCTTGGTACCTATTTGTGCTACTGACAAGGAGGCAGGGTACCTGAGCACTTCACTGAGCAGTATTCCTTCCTCTGTGTTTGCTTTGGCCTTAGAGCAGTACCATGGTGTATTGGAATTTTTTTTATGGTCTGTCTTTTACTCTATGGCAAGACCTTCTGATTCATTTCTACTCTTTATTCCTAACACTTAGCAAAATGCCTGGCACATACAATGTCTCAATGTTTGTTGAATTGTTAAATTTACTTGTAAACCTTCATTTAATAGCCCCAGGAGATGGACACTGAGAAGGTGATTGACCGGAAAGTAGAGCTTGAAAAGGAGGATGGTCATGTACTCCACAAACGCCTAAGCCAGGTGGACCCGGAAAGGGCTGCCAAGCTACACCCACATGACAAGCGCAAAGTGGCCAGGTAAGAAAGCCTGGGCTCGCTGAGCCCAAGTTCCTTTAGACTAAGGGGGCTGTCGGTTCTTCAGTGTGCCTGGGTGCTGAGAAGTTTGGTAATAGTAGTTAGTGGCAATTGATGTGTTCTAGCTCAGCAGGTTGGGAGGCCCTGAGTTATTGCCTCAGTCCAACTCCCTCAATAAATAGTTGCACCCTGCTTTGTTGTTAGATTTACAAATGCATAATACAATATACTCTTTCCCTAGGGCCTGTGTAATCTTTCTTCATTTTCTATTTGATCTTTGCTTGTATAACAGTTTTCATATACATTTTTTCTGACATGCAGGCAGTTTACGCTGTGATTTGGGTTTCATAATTGATTGTGCAATGCCAAGTTCTGCCCCAGCAGCTTTCCCAGTGGGAGGTAGATTTTATAAACTGTCTCATAGATCAGCTCACCTTTGCACAGGGAGACTTGCTTTAAGGGAGGAGAGAGGTGATGAATGAACTCATAGGGTCATGTTTTCTTAGGTTGTTTTGAAATTGCAGCCTCATGTGTTAGGTTTATTTTTCTGCAAGTCTTGGGAGTGAGACCATATCTGGCAGAGTAGAGGATCTAATGAAGGACCTAACATATGGATGGTTACACAGATGAAGTCTTATAGTAACAGTTGGTATTGATAGGGGTTGTGAAGTATTCTACTCAAATGAATGTTCTATATCAGTGTTTCTTAATCCTTTTTTTAATTATTGTTCCCCCTGAGCCTTTTTAGAATTTTTTTCCCTAATTGTGCCTCCCTCTCTCCTCACCCTCCATGAAAGATTTTTGGGAGTATGGTTGCCCTTTGGATGGCCACACATCATTGTAATATCTAAATTTTTTTGCCCCCTTGAAGGCAGTATTACCCTGATGATAATGTATATTATAGATAAATGAAGTTTATACTTTGAAGTATTCAAACATTTTATTTTAATGGAACTCTTTCAAAAAAGTTTTGGAAAATTCAAGAACGTTATGAACATTCATTTTTATATTGTTTTATGATATGGTTCTGGAGCTTGGTCTTTATTGTCCTCTCCTGTTATTAATCAGTTCTTTCCTTCTTTTATTTTTTTCTGAGGAAGATTTGCCCTGAGCTAACATCTATGCCAGTCTTTTTCCACTTTGTATGTGGTATGCTGCCACAGCATGGCTTGATGAGTGGTGTAGGTCCATGCCCAGGATCCAAACCCGTGAACCCAGGCTGCTGAAGCAGAGTGCGCAGAACTTTAACCACTCGACCATGGGGCTGGCCTCAATCAATTCGTCCTTATCACCTCTCCTCATTTCGCCTTCTAAGCTAGTAATGAATTGAGAGTTGTATCTTAGTAAGAGTCAGTAGGTTCTAAGCAAGAGCTCTAGAGTCTCTTTTAGAGACGACAGGAGAACTTTTTTCATCTTTCTTTCAGTTTGACGCTGTATGCTAACTAACTTCCAGATGAATGAGAGATTGGTTACTACATTTTTTCCTCGTAGGTCCTCTTTGAGTGACCAGTGATACAGGAAGACAAGGGGTTTCTACTCTTGTGTTAAGGTTTCAGGAAGTAAATTGGGTCAGGAAGGGAAAGATCATTTTCAAGCTGATAAGTTGCAATCACACAGAGTAGTGGAGTATAGATTTGAGAGTTAAATTACCTAGTGCTGCATACCATAGTAGATATGGACAGAGTGGATGGTGGCTCAAGAATAAGGATGGGAGTTCTTTCTTCAGTGATCTTTGTGCTAGTAGAGTACTGAATTAGTCAGAAGCATTCTTCATTAATTTTAGACATATTTAAAAAGAAAGTTGTCGAGCTGGATATACAACATACTTTTGTACTGTGGGAAAGGCATTGCAGCGAGACTCGACTTGTTGGCTTGTAGCAGTGTCCCAAACAAGCTCTTTTACTGCTTACCTAAATGTGAGCGAGTCCCATTCTGTTTGTGTAGAAGAAACCTGTTGTTTCTGAACCTATTTGACTGATTTCAGAAAAATTTATATATGTTTAAAAGAATGGTATTATTTCCTACTTTACCCAAAGTTTCTTTAAGACTCTTTTCTGAGCAGCTATAGGATTGTAGTAACCCTTGATCTTCATATCTTCAGGGGCTTATGCAGTGAAAATGAGAACGAGATGTTGTATAATAGATAGGCTTTTTCCTTGTTGCACTTGAGAATTAATATTTCCTAATGGTTTTTATGAGTGCCCACCCTCCCATTTCAAATGACTTAGGAGCTTGCAAGTATTTGAAGAAACAGGAATCTCTCATAGTGAATTTCTTCATCGTCAACAAGCAGAAGAAGGTGGTGGTCCCCTTGGAGGGCCTCTGAAGTTCCCTAACCCTTGCATCCTCTGGCTTCATACTGACCAGACAGGTAAAAGCCCTTTGATGTCCTAGACTCCATCTGAGATAGAGCTTAGAGTAATACATTACTATATATAAAATGCTTAGAGCCATGAATGGCTCAGAGCGAGCACTAAACAAATGTTAGCTATTAATTTTATTATCATTGCCATTCTTTGTTGACTTAGGCATGGTGCCTTTCCCCTAGGTATCTGTCTGGAGATGGAGGAAGTGTAGCCTTGGCACTAGGATAAGATACCAAGGGTGGGATAAGATGGGGTGGATGGCATGGGAAAGAGCCTGACATCCAGGGAAGATCCAAAGGAGAAAGAGAAGGAAGGCCCCTCTGGAAGGAAGTCTGACTCTCTGGGTTGGCTGGTAGCTGGATCACTGATTATTCTAGAAGCAGTAGGCCTGAGAAGTGGGTATGTTGGTTAGCTAGCTAGCTTGATGGTGCTTTCTTTTGCTAAAGTATAATAATGCCCTGTGAGTGTAGTAACTCCTTTATCTAACAGACAGTCAGTAAGCATTCATTGAAGTGTCAAGTATTCTGCATAGTACTTGGATTTCAGAGACGTCTAAGAGGCGGTGCCTGCTCTTAAGGAGCTCCCAGTCTAGTGAGTCAACAAGTAATGAGATGGATACTGTGTTGTGATAAATATCGGGCTAGAAAGTGCTGTGGGGCCCCAGAGAAGGGATGATGAACATTCTCTGGGGGGAGTCGGACCAATTTGTAAAGGTAACCTATTAGCCAGGTCTGGAAAGGTAAGGAGATGATTATGAGACCAGGCACTAGGGTGTAGTGATTAAGAGCATGGTCTCTGAACCACACTGTCTGGATTCAAATTCCTCTCCACCATCTTCCAGCTATGTGAGTTTTAAGGCAAGTTAATTTACCTTTCTCTGCCCTAATTTTCTCTTCTGTAAAATGGAGAGAATAATAATAATAGTACATATCTCATAGCTTCATTGAGGATTAGGTGAATTCATAATACATACAAAGTGTGCAGAATGTGCCTGACACATGGTGGATGGAATAATACTAATAATTATATAATAATAATAATAGTAATAATAATAATAAATGGAATCTTTTTAGGAAGATAGAAAAAAAGGTTACTATTGCAGGCCGAGAAATAGTGATGGCAGAGATGTAGAAGAACATGATTGAGATGTTGAAAACTTGTTCAATTAATCTCAGTTAGAACTTTCTAGAAGAAGGTAATCTTTTAATGAAATTTCTGTAAATAAAAACATGTAGTACAGTTCATCATAAAATAATGGTCTCTGATTCATAATAAAGTTGTGTTTGACTACTGCATCGAATGATTATGACCTCTTACTCTTTGCTCATTTGTCTGGTTCAGTAGTTCACGATATACCTTGGATGACTTTGGATTGAAATTCCTCGTTCCTATCCAAGGTGTCATCTGAGAGTCCTTAAATGTGAAATAACACAAAGTTAGAGTAACAAATCTAATGGAAATAGTAAGATGGATAAAACAGGGGGTTCTCAGCTGCCTCTAAAATAAACACTGGCTATCCGTTCCATACAAGAATAAAGTGTTTGTTCTTCCTAATAGCTGTAATTGTATGCTTCCTCTTTATATAATAATAAGACATATGTTTCATTCTGACTTTTTATTGGAGTTGCAGAGTCTTAAGTATGACTAAATATAACATGAATTGTTATGTAATCTTGGACTCTCAACTCTTTCTTCCATTTGAACAAATTCTTCTTTGTGGCAGCCTGTCCATTCATTCTGTAAATGTGTAGTATACACCTATGGCAGGCTTGCTGGTTGATGGGCTAATTTGATTCAAGTTCTAGATGAGCGCTTGGATAAGAGGGTGGATGACATGCTTGCCGCTGGGCTTTTGGATGAACTAAGAGATTTTCACAGACGCTATAATCAGAAGAAAGTTGCAGAAAATAGGTGAGGATTTGCCTGTTACTTTGACCTACTCTCTATACCTTGCTTATGGTCAAAAGACCCTAAACATAATACTGGCTTTGGATCTACTTGTTCATTAGCCTTTGTCCTTGGCATTCACAAGGCTTCTTGGAAGGAGATTTGGTGTACTTGTTACAGTTGCAATTTTCTAATTGTTAGACATTCCCAGGAGTTAATTTTCAAGAGAAGTAAGCTGGGAGCTGGTGAGGGGTGGTGGAGGAAGGATTTCAGAGGGGCAGTAACTGTTCAGGATCTCAATTTCCTCATCTGTGAGATGAAATGGCTTGGCTAGATCATCTGCAAGGCCCCTTCTAGCTCTCAGATGCAATGGCTCATCTGCTGATGCTCTCCTGTTCCCAGCCAGGACTATCAACGTGGTATCTTCCAGTCAATTGGCTTCAAGGAATTTCACGAGTACCTGATCACTGAGGGAAAATGCACACCAGAGACTAGTAACCAGCTCCTAAAGAAAGGTGTGAATTCCTCCATTTAACCTAGCCTTGGACATTCTGGGGTGACAGAGTATCCTGGTATGGTCTGAGAAAGAGATGATGTTAGAAGAATCCCAAATGGCCTTCAGCTCAGAATTGAGATTTTTGTCTACGAAGTGTCCACCAGTGTGCTGCTGTGGCAACTTTTCTCTTCCACTGGGCTGGGTGGGCCTGCCTTTTGGCAGGGTGAGAACTATTTCATTAGAGGTTCTTGTATCTACCTTATCTTTCAGGTATTGAGGCTCTGAAACAAGTGACTAAGAGATATGCCCGGAAGCAAAACCGATGGGTTAAAAACCGTTTTTTGAGCAGTAAGTCTCATGTTTTTCCTTTTCCCCCGGGTCTTTTTTCAATAGAAGATACAAGTCCTCAGCTCACCCAGAAAATGAACTTTAGTTTCTGGGCTTGTTCTGAGATTTGGGACCTGACCTGGAGGGAGGTCTATTGCATAAATGATTGTCCTGGGATATTTTCTTCTGATGTCTCAGAAAACAAATTAAATCTTTCTAGTAAGGAGTCTGCCCTATGCCTTGAACACATGAGTACTGGTTGCAAACAGGTAAGAGCAAAATAGCAACATCATCTTAGTAAAGTTGATGCTCAGGGTTGATTTTAGCTTCAAATTTTTACCTGAAGAAAAATCAGATTTCTGTAGGCATGCTTTCCTAATTAAACTGGTTCTTGGGCCAGATGAGCAGTATGAAAAGATCAAACCTTCACCACTTCTCCCAGTATACTTTCATGTTCAGATACGTGGTGCTTCAGACTGCTTTTTTTTTGGGAAGATTGGCCCTGAGCTAACATCTGTGTCAATCTTCCTCTGTTTCACGTGGGATACTGCCACAGTGTGGCTTGACGAGCAGTGCTAGGTCCATGCCTGGGATCCAAACCTGTGAACCCCTGGTGGCTGAAGTAGAGCACTCGAACTTAACCACTATGCCACTGGGCTGGCCCCAGACTGCTTCAGTTTTAACCTTAATTGAACAATACTTTTAAGGAAAAAGGAAGGAAATTCTCATTCATTTGACCCTGTACTACGTCCTTGGCACTAAATTTCGTGCTGTATGTATATTATCGAGCCTTTGAGGTAGATGTTATTTTTTTTAATTTTTTTGTTCTTTTGCAGATAAGGAAATGGAGGCTTCAGGAAGTTAAATAACTTGGCAGAATCCCCTAGCTAATAAGCAGTAGAGTATTGAGTGCAAACCTGGCTCCAAAGTCCATGCTTTGCTTTATACCTTTATCTATCTTCTCGTTTCCTTTAGTTGTAAGTTTAGCTAGACAGCATAAGTTTTGGGCCTTTGGTAAGACTTGTGTGATTATGAGCTAAAAGGAGATTAATTTAAAGGGATTAAGCATAAGTGAAACGCGATTTTGTCTTGTGGGCACTTTTTAAATATGCTTCTGAATATCCCCTTTTCCTTTCGCCGTTAGATGTCCACTTTCAGTTACAGTTAAGGACAGCTGGGGCCTCCACCCCGCTCCTCAGTGTCTCTAAACAAAACACCTTGATGGCTGTTGTTGACCACTGGATGCTGGAGTTCTCTCTCCTAGTTCTCGCTCTGCCAGAGTGCTTCACTGTAGTTCTGGCACCAAAAGGCTCTTTACGTTTTCTTCTCCTTATCCTGCTTTCTCTGCCTGTCCTGTTAGATAGAAGAAGTCTTTGCATTAGCTGAAATGGAAGTTTACTACTACAAATTTCTAATGTAGCTTCTTTTTTCCCCAGGGCTAACAATTAGTCTGTAACAAAAGACATTTTTTGTAATGATTTGGAACTTCCTCTGGTGGTAAAGCCACAGTAACTACCCCGTCTCAGTCAGGAGGGGTTGATGGCACAGTGCATCATATGTCTGTTCCTTATTCATGTGTATGCCAGCACAGTCCTGGTGCTAGAGTGAAAGGCGCAGCTGCCCTGTAAATCAGGAGCCATGTGTGATTGGCTAGGGCTGGTCTGCTGGGATCTGGTTCTGGCAAGAAGCCAGAGAGACTTCCCCACCCCAGCTTGGCCTTGGACCTAAGCCAGAAATAGCAGCTGGGAGCCGAGAACTTGTTGAAAGGTGCTTAGACAGGGCACAGAAGCCCAACAAAGGACTTAGAGGGGAAAGGAAAATATAGAGTGGCCTGGAAACAGGTGCAGAGCTTAGCCAAGGCCAGGTGTGCTGTGGATGCTGCCTGCACCCTCCTAGTCTCACCTTTCTGTGTGGTGGCAGGTGCAGCTCAGTCCAGTTTATGAAGAATCTTATTTGTGGTTGGCACAATCAAAAGGCCAGCACCTGCCGGCCGTTGGCATCCCAAGGACTTTGCTGTTTTGTCCATGGGGTGATGCTCTTTGCCTTCAGGCAACTGACTTGACTTAGCTGTGGAAGGCAGTTTAATCTGCAAGCTAGGGAAGCTACCAGCAGAGACTAAACATGCTTGGCTCAGATGGAAGAAATGCCTGTAGCTGTACTCTTGGATACCACCAGTCTCATCTCCATTCAGAAGTGTTTGCCAGAAGGTATTTCTTGAATGCTCCTCTAGATCTCTTTCCTAAAAGAAGGGCCTCAACTAGTTCAATTCCAAGGCTTCTTTCTAATTCTCAGATTCAGCGACTCATTGGCTAATACTATGCTGTTAGCAGCCCATGATTATCGATATGGTATCACTGAGTTTCATGAATGTCAAACTGCTGAAGGAATCTATACAATCCTGAGACTACTATCTGCTCCTAAAGAAAGCTGTGAACTCTCTTGCCACAGTGACATCACTGTAAGATGATATGGAACTTAGAACAGGCACTTACTCACTTACTTCATGCTGTCAGTTTATTTCCTCCTATGATGTGCTGTCTTGATATTGTAACCCACACAGTGGTCGCTAGAACTATTACTCTGTATTGTTTTCCTGACTGATCTGGAAGATCCTACACCTGAGGCTCCGGATTATATACCTAGACTTATTCGCACAGACCAATCAACCTTCTAGGTCTTTCTTGGATTGTATCTAGTGGTTTGGTTCATGTTTCTGGTTGAAATGAACGGCGTGGTCAGAATGTTTATTCGTTTGGTCCCATATGTTTCCCATGAGAATTTTGGAGTCCTGGGAGCACGGTAGATTAGGTCTTGGGGGCTGACCTCTCACAACTTTTCTTTGTCTTTATTAGGACCCGGTCCCAGTGTTCCCCCAGTATATGGCTTAGAAGTATCTGATGTCTCAAAGTGGGAGGAGTCTGTTCTTGAACCTGCTCTTGAAATCGTGCGAAGTTTCATCCAGGTGATGTTAATCATGGTACTGTCTATTGTCTGGTTTTCAGAGAGCTTTCCTTAGCTGACACCTTTGTTACTACCCAGGGAACCAAGCCCTCTTTTCCATGGAATAAAGCAGAAGGGTTGGCTGCTTTTAGATCCCTGGAGGCTGCGTTTCTACTTTCTCATTCAGAAAGGTTGTCGGTAAAATCTGTTCACAGCCCACCTGCTCTCTGGGATGAGAAAAAGAAATCTTGGGAAAATCCCACTCCCTTTAATATCAGAGAATGATATTCAAATCTCTTAGAATCAAATGCTTCTCCCCCATCCCCTCCTTGTTCTTTTAGGGCCACCAGCCTGCAGCTGCTCCAGTAAAGATGCCATGTAATGAAACTGAGAACAAGAGAAGTTATCACATGTGTGACCTCTGTGATCGAATCATCATTGGGGACCGCGAATGGGCAGGTAGAGTCTGGGGAAAAGCATGGAATAATCTGTAAGGGTGGGTCACATTGACTTCATGAAATTTAAGGTCTTTGGTAGGTTCAGTGCCAGAGTCTGCTTCTTTGTAAAGGGATGGCCAGATTCCTCTAAGAGACTGGTCAGATTTCATGGAGGCCTTCCCAAATTGGAGAGTTATCGCTGTATTCTGAATTTCAAAGGAAGATCATATGCCCTCTAGCATTGGCTAGAGCAGATATTTTGTACTGAGAGGTCTGCAGTTAACTTTCCAGAGCTCCTGTGACTTTCATGATCCTACCTTATGAGAGTTTCTTGGCCTTTCAGGTTTAGATCTCAGTGGGGTTGAGGTAGGATTTTAAGGGAAGCCAGGCAACTCACGCAAGAGACCAAAGAAGCAGAAACAGCCGACACGGAGCAGGAAGTGCAGTTACTCGTCCTGAGTACATTATTCAAAAGTGGTATCTCGGACCAGCCCGGTGGTGCAGCTGTTAAGTGTGCACGTTCCATTTCAGCGGCCCCGGGTTCACCAGTTCGCGTCTTGGGTGTGGACATGGCACCGCTTGGCACACCATGCTGTGGTAGGCATCCCGCATATAAAGTAGAAGAAGATAGGCACGGATGTTAGCTCAGGGCTAGTCTTCCTCAAAAAAAGAAAAAAAAGTGGTATCTCTTCAATAATTTTTAAGGTAGTACATTGAAATGGTGGTAATTGCTAAAACTGTGATGAGAAAGAAGTGTTAAGGAAGACTGTGAAAGCAAGACTGTGCGCCATGTCTCAAGAAGTTGGGTGATATCTTGCTTACGAGGTGCTACCCAGCCAACCCAGAGTCACCCTGCCCTAAGTGGCCAGTCTGTCTCCCTGCTTCAGAGCCTGGAACGGCCTCTGCCACAGAGTCATGCTGCGCTCCCCTGTCGGATTTCTCTAGAGATACAGTCAATGCTCAAAGGCCGTTAGCCTCCAAGCCTTGAATTTCCCTGTATTTAGAAACTTGTTTAAGGCCCACTCCTTTCAGGCACAGTAGGGCTTGTAGTTTACACAGCGGCTGGAATCCTTCTGCTCAGAGTACTGCTTTACAGAGAATTCTCATAGAAGTAGATTTTTCCCCCCATACCAACCAATAGAATGATTAGTTCTATTAACTGGTAACTCTGGCAAAATGAACTCCATTGTCAGAGACTGGGGATGGCTGTGATTGCCCAAGCAGCAGAAGAAGCCTCGATTGTCGTTGATTTATAATGATGAAAGGGAAAGAGAAAGAGTGTCTGATTGTCTCTTCTAAGGAAACTTAGTGGTTCGATTTGTCGAATGTCCTTCAGGGATAGCCTCAGAGAAGCAACATTTGTGAGCCTTTGTGAGCTTAGCTTGTGTAAGCCCTTCTATGGTGCCATCTGTCAAGTCCTTGCTCCCGTCTCCTGCTGCCGTGGAGAGCCAATCCAGAAGCCCATTTTTGCCTTAGGCTCATGTTGGAGAACAAAGCTGACTTTTTCCCTCCAAATAAACTTTTCTTTGACCTCTAACCTGTTCCTTACTTATTTTTGCTTCTAAACTCTTAAAAATGGTGTTTTTAATATGTATACAAGAGAATCCAATCTAGTTATCTATCCCTTTATGAGGTCCCAAATAAGATTTCCTTGAAAAAGAATAGGATAGTAAAAAAGAGCTTATATGAGTTAATCAGAGAGTGGGAACTATGTTTGAGGTGAGAGATCAGAAGTTGATATCAGGAACAGTAGCTTTTCATCTTTACTGTTTCTGTGGACTCTAAAAAGGGGTTGTCCCCGAAAAATGCTTCTTGTTGTCTCTCATGCATGGTGTGCCTGGAGAATGTGAGCCTTGTGGGTTGGTTGTTCACATGGCTTTTCTGACCCAGGCATAAGGATGTTAGACCAGGAGGGGCAGCCTGTGCAAGCAGGGAAGAAGTGGGAAGGACAGCTCTGGATGCTATAGGCCTGAGGCAGGACAGGGCATCTGTCCTGTGATACAGACAAGGATTTGGACTTATAACTTTTTGGCCATTTGAGTTGAAATGTTATCTGTATCAGGACGCTCCATACTGGAAAATCGAGTCTCTTTTTGAACTACAAGTAAACCAGAGGAAGAGCTTACCTGCTGGGTGATCTTGAACAAAACGTAAACTCTCTGTGAACTTCAGTTTCCTCCTGTGTAAAATGAGCTGAATAATAGTGTCCTGCAAGATTGTTGTGAGGATTAGTGATGTAAAGAACCTAGCAGGGTGCACTCGATACATGGTAGCTCGTGCCAGTTTGCTAGCTAGCTGGCCATATAACTTATCTTCCCTTAAAAATGCTAAGCAGCTATAACGGCACATGTATTGATCCTGTTATTGTTAAAGAGGATTGTATAGGTAATTTTTGATGCTTCTAGGATTAATTCTAGAAAATCCTAATGAGTTTTGTTTTGTTTTGGTTTTGTCTTAGCACATAGAAAATCCAAATCCCACTTGCACCAACTGAAGAAAAGAAGAAAATTGGACTCAGATGCTGTCGCCACCATAGAAAGTCAGAGTATTTCCCCAGACCGTGACAAAGAGCTTAAGGAGAAGGGATCCCCAGGGCAGAATGATGAAGAGCTGAAATCCAGTGTTTAAGAGACATGTCCAGTGGCCTTTGCAAAGGTGGTGGGGATCCAGTTCAGGAGGGAGGGTCGTCTGTGTCCCAGTCTGGACTGAGGAGCACCACGCAGAAAGCTCCCACCATTTTCTTCCATTTCGTGGTGTGGTGTTAGAGTCTCATGTTCTCTGTGATGGAAGCAGCAGGTCTTGTCAGCTCCTGGTGTGGCTGGTGTGTCTGGTAATGAGTTTGGGAAGAGATTTTTTTTTAACTTTTTTAAGCTTAAGCGTTCTATTTTGAAAGAGGCACAGATTGTACTTTTTACACTTGAGGATCTTTTTGGTGATGAATACCAGGATTCACTATATCCCTTAAAAAAGAGGTTTTATGTCCCTGACTCGGGCTAAAAATATCTAATTTCCAGACAGTTTTATAGATGACTGAAGTATTGTGAGCCACAAATCAGAAGTTCTGGATTTGAGTGAAAGTCAGGAAAGGACTGGCCCCAATGAGATGATTAAGTGAACCACACCAGCTCTTGGAATTCTGTAGGGAAGGACAGAATCAGACCAAGGTGGTTGTGACATGGAACTTGAAACTAATGACTTTGGAATTTGTTGAGCTCCTCCTATGTGATGATTACTGTCACTGCTGTCTTTCTATTGAGTTAGGAGTCTATATTTTTACTGAAAGTTAAATAAAGAAAAAGTTTGCAAGAGCCTCTTTAGTCCTTAAATAGATAGATATGTCCACGTCTGTTTTATACACAATATACTCTGTCATCAACATGATAGCTTTTTCTCAGATTTGACATTCTTCATAGGATCATGCTGTCCATTCCTTTAATTAGCGGATGTTTATTGAGCACTTACTATACTCCTGGAAGACATCTGGAGAGGGCCTTTTACTGGAGATTTGTTATTTCTAGTTGCAGCTCTCTTTCTGAAGTGACCTGAGCTGCCAGCAGTGTTAAGTAGATGTATGTATGTATTTCACATAAAATTAAGCCTTTTTAAGTTTACAGTTCAGCAGCATGCATTACATTTACCATGTTGTGCAACCATCACTGCTGTTTCCAAAACTTTTTCATTACCCCAAACAGAAACTCTGTAACCATTAAGCATTAACTCCCCACTCAAGTAATATTTTGTTTGTTCAGCATCTACTGTATGAGAGGCCCTGGGCTAGGCTAGAGGGAGTACAGAGATCGAATGAGATGGGGTTTTTGCTTTCAGGAAACTGGTAAATATTGTGTGTATATACACAAACAGCCGATCTAGGTAAGAGGTAAGGCCAACAGAGCTGTGTAGGACTTCAGTTTAGAGCAGAAGGGAAGGGATCATGGAAGAAGGAGCCTTTCTGCTGGACCTTAAAAAGCAATTCTTGGCAAATGTATTGTTAGCTGTGCATACAAGGAGAGGGTCAGGTAAAAGAACTACCGAACTTGATTAACCTTTTTAAACAGTGCTGAATTCCATAGCTCACCTACCTTTTTTTCCTTCCAACAATTTTTGAAAGTTTTATTTTTTCACTAGATTTCCCAATTTAGTTCAAAAATCAAAATGACATAAAAAGACATTTATTGAGAAATCCTGCTCCCACCTCTGTCCCCTTTACCCTCCCCCATAGATAATCACTTATTTGATTTCTTACGTATCTCTCAAGAGTTTTTTATTTATTTATTTTTATTTTTTATTTTTGGCTGAGGAAGATTAGCCCTGAGCTAACATCTGTACCAATCTTCCTCCACTTTATATATGGGTCACTGCCACAGCATGGCTGACGAGTGGTGTAGGTCCACTCCCAGAATCTGAGCCCATGAACCTGGGCCGCTGAAGTGGAGTGCACCAAACTTAACCACTATGCCATGGGGCTGGCCCCCTCAAGAGTTTTTTAAAGCAAAAATGAACGAATACAAATATATATCCTTATTTTTCTCCTTTCTCAAAAGATAGCATATAGCACAAGTTGGCAATACCTGGATATGCATGGATTTCTCCTGCCATCTCTGTTATATTTTTGGCTTTAACCACCCACCCTGGGGTCCCCCAGTTGACCCCAGGCCATAAGCAGAGTTCACTCACCTTTGTGTACTGACCTTCATTCAGATGCCAGACTTTAGGCCAAAACCAGCCTCTGAGGAATTCTCAAGCTGTAGCCAGCCCATTCATTCAGCCAGCAGATATTTTAGACTTTACGGTGTGCCAGGGCCTGTGCCAGACTCCAGTGGTACAGTAGAGATCAAAAAAGTCCCCATTGATCAAATAATTAGAGAATTACAGCTGTGATAAGGGCTGCAAAGAAAGGACACTTGCTGTAAGGGCAAGTAATCTGAGGAGCTGCCCTACCTTGGTGTGTGGGAGTGTGTGCGTGTGCTGAGGGGAGGCATGTGCTGAGGCACGTGGCATGGCACGGCACGATGCTATGTCTGGTGCCGGGACTGCATATGTGGCACCACATGACCTGGAAAGCGGGGATTTTCAACAAGACTTCAGTGGCTTCTCTTCCCCCTCCTCCTCCAGGCTGTAGGATGTCCTGGGCCCTTTGAGCTTTATTGAACCTTTCACTGATTTGAATCAAGAATAAATTTTTCTCTGGTCAGAGAAGAAATTATTATTATATCCACCCCATATTGTTGTTTACATTTAACATAGTAGAATTTTCCCCATCAGTTTTATTAACTACTTCAGGAGCTAAGGGGTAAGGAAGCCACATGTTCTCACTGGAAGTGGGGATGAATACTTACCATGAGTCAAGCAGGACCAAGCCTTTTATATACGTTATCTTCTCCCCCAGCCCTGGAAGGGAGGTCTGTTTCTTTTCCTGTTAACCACTGGGGAAACAGGCTCAGCAGAGGAGTCCAGCTAGTAACCAGCAGAGCTGGAATTGAGGTGAACCCAGCAGAGTTCAGAGCTCAAGCTGTTGAGTCCCGTGCTAAGCTGACTGTTTCTATGGAGGAATCTTGGTCTCTCTGAAGGGCTCTTCACTCGAGTTGCTAAATATGTTTTAGCTTAAAAAAGTTTCAGTGTGCAAGCAGAAAGAAACTTGTTTTAACAATCCTACCTCAGAAAGCCTTTAATCCTTGCAACTGAAGTACCTAGAGCAGCAACTTCTTGTTGAGCTCATCGCTCTCTCTCTGTGGCAGTTAGAAATCAGGAATTTCTTGAAAGAAAAAACCAAAGTGCCTAAAATTTATGAAGCACCTAGCAAGTGTGAGGTGCTGTCATTGTGTCCCTTGCCCCTATTCTTAGAAACTGTAAATTCAGCAAGGTGGAATTCCTGTGCCAGCAGCAGAGATTGGGGAAGGCAGAACACTCAGTAGGCTTCTGCTTGGTGCCTGGTCGGAGGCACTGCCCTGAGCAGATTTCCCCTTCTCTCCCTGCTCCCATTGGATGACTTTGCTGTTGAGCATAGGGAAGGAAAGGAGTTCTTCCTAGTGATTGTCATAAATGTGGAGATGAGAGGGTTCTTAGCACCTTCTTATACAGATGGGAAAACTGGGGCTCAAAACATGCATGGTCCACAGTCACAGCAAATTGTGACAGGTTCCCTCTCTCACTCAACTACTAGATCTCATACCAAATCTCATTTGAGAGCAGGGAAGGGAGCGTAGCGACCAGCTTTGGACTATTTGTTCAGCCTGGAGTCAGGGTGAGGAATGCCATTTTGTCCCATCTGGCTTCAGCTCCTCCCCAGACAAGCGGAGCCCTTCAGTCCAGGTGCCGAGTCTGCAGTTGATAGCAGTGTCATCTAAATGGCTTTGGTAAGGAATTCCAACACTCAGAAAGCAGTCAGGTCCATCCACCTCTGTCAGTAAAAACGTTTTTTCCTCAGACTTAGAGAGAATTAACATATAAAGTAAAAATCTTGACTAGGCTTTAGACACTTCTTGCAGTTCAGACAGCGTTGTTTGGGAAATACGTTGACTCTGAAAAGAGAGCTGGAGCTTTAGTCTTTAAAATATTTTGCTTGATTTTTAGGGCTAAGCAAGAGAGCACTTCATTTATAGTCTAGGTGCATGGTGTGATCCTTTGTAACTCTCAGTAATTATTCGCATTCTTAGCCTCGGTTCCACATTCTGCAAAGAGGATTTTTCTGCTTAAAACAAAACATACAGCACAACATTAAAAAAAGAAAAGGAAAAAACCACTAGAAGGCAAGCTTTAATGAATGCAGTAGACTGTCTGTATATCCCCAGCAACTAGAAAGTCAAATATATGTTGAATTAATTGCAGGAGAGCATAAAAGCTAAGTGGGTCTCTACATAAATGCTCTGTTTCAATTGTTAAATAGCCTTTAACCAGGATGAAGAAATCTTGGGATAGTAGCCACAGGAAGGAATTTCAGTGTTTGATTATCACCTACTTGGGCGGTTAGGGCTATTTTCTAAAAAGATGGCTCACTGGTCATTTGTAAAGCTGTTCTGAATATGTACAAAGGAAGCTGCCTGGTTGTATTAGTTAGGGTAAAGGGCTAAGCTGCTGTAACAAAGAGACTCAGCAATACACTGGCTTAAAGAACAAAGAAGTTTCTTTCTCATGTAGCAGCTCCAAGGGGAGTTAACATTTCTGAAGTGAGCGGTCCAGGTCAGTGGGGCAGCTCTGCTCTGAGCGGTCATTCAGGGACACAGCTTCCTTATATCGTGTGGCTTCTCCATCCTCTGGGGGTCATCACCTGCATGGTTGAAGCTGGGTCATCAATGGTTCCAGCAAGTCAGAAGGAAAAAAAGAGCAGGGAGGAGGCACATCTGATGCCTTAAGGCCTAGACCCTGTAGGGGCACGCATACTGCTGCTCACTTTCATTGGCAAGAACTTAGTCATATGGCCACACCTACCTGCAGAGGAGACTGAGAAATAGAGTCAAGCCATGTGCCAAGAAAGAATAGGAGAACAGATTTTGGTGGGCAGTTTGCAGTTTCCACTAAATTAGCATGATGGAAAGAGCACCGAGTTCCAGGCTGGTTTAACTAATTAGCCCTGGTAGCTTGCTAGGGGCGAATCTTTCTGTTTCCCCATCTGTGAAATCAGTGAGTTGTATGAGTTGACCTATGAAAAATTTCAAAAAGTAAAGCTTGACAAAATCTTGGCTGGTGGGATTTAAGACTAGAATAAAAAAACATTATAGGGAATGTGAGACTGAATGAGGCTTAAGGCCAATGGCTAACACTCCAAAGATGGTGGGGAGGAAGGATAGAAGGTATTGTGGTGGCATTGTGAAATAGCCGGACTAAGGGCTGTAACTACCTGCTTCTGGACTTTCTGTGGAAAAAAAAAGAAAGGAAACTGCTATTTGTACTTGCAGTGGAACACCTGCCTATCTAATGACTATCTGTGTGACGCTGGGAAAATTACTCAGGCAGCCTGAACTTCCTCATATATGAAATGGGCTTGTTACCTCCATGCCAGGGGACATCATAAGGAGTCAACAAGGTCCTTTTGAAACAGCATAGTGTTTCGCACGGTAGTGCCCAGTAAATGGTAGGTATAAATTGGATTTATTTGTTTCATTGGGTAAAAATTGTTAATGCTACTAAAGTGTTGGTTTATGGTATAGTGACAGTTCCCAAAAGTTATCAGGGCGAACTGTGGCCTAAAACTGACTAGTTGGGTGGTCCACCAGTTGGGTGCTGACCAGTTGGGTGCTGATGGCCAGAAACGGTGCCTCAAGCTTTATCTGCCACCCAGCCAGGCTTCAGCTGTTAGTTGTTATTATTGTTATTTTTTTAATGCATATGATTTCTTCATGGGTTAGCTCATTTGCTTGAACTGTTTTCTTCACCTGAAATGCCCTTTCCCCTACTCTTCACCTGGTGAGCTCCTACATGTCCTTTAAGGTCCGGTCTGCTGTCCTCTCCTTAGATAAAGCTTCCTTGCCTCCTTTAGGGAGGCTTAGTGTCTCCTTCCTGTGTGTTCTCTCAGCAGTTTATAATAGTATTAGCGCGTACTTTTATAGTATGACTGCCAGGCACGTTCTAAGTACTTCACATGTAATGACTCATTTCGTCCTTACAACAGCCCTATGAGGTAGTGTCGTCAGTGTTGTTATTAGCTCTATTTTTCAATTGAGGAAACCGAGTAGAAGAGTTAAGTGATTTTCCTGAGGGCAAACTGGGATCTGAAACTAGGTAGGTGGCTCCAAAATCTGTGTTCTTCTTCACCGTATTCTTCTACCTCCTTATTACTCTTCTACAGAACACTTCTGTAGCTGTCTCTTGCTCCCGTTGGAGAGTAAATTCTGCCAAGATGTGAGTTGTATTTTTAAGACAATGTGGGACACACAATGGACACCCAATAGGTCCTGAGGCTGATCCTGCCAGGCACATCTCTGAACCGTCGCTCATCTTTGCTGAGTGCGTGCTGTGTGTCAGGCACATGGTTACCTTGTGTGATTCCTTCAAACAAATGGGCAAGGCGTTTTGTTATCTGCATTTTATAAACAGGCATGCATATTCAGAAAGCTTCTTAATTGTGGCTGGCAGAGAGTACACCTGCAAATATTTGCTGAATACTAGAAAGAAGGCTCTGTGAGGGCAGGGGTTTTTGTCCGTTGTAACTGCTTTATCCCTGGCACCTATGGGTGCCTGTGCTCGAAAGGCACTCAGTAAACATTTGTTGAGGTAGAATTTGAAGCCAGATTGGGCTGATTCCAAACCCATGCCGTAACCGTTAGGCTGCATTTCCCCAAGGGCATTCCTTTAGGGCTTTTTAAATCTACAGATCATTTATATCCCATCTACTTATAAGAAGGAATCAGCACAAGAAAAAGCAAAAAAGATTCCGGAAGAACTAACTTTTCCGCTAAGTTGTTTATGTTAAGACTGGCTGTTACAAATGAAACAAGCCAAACACTAACTTAAGCAGAAAGATGAGTGTAAGATAGGGTTACTGAGGTCTCTCATCAAATTCAAGGACAGAAAAGCAGCAAAGCCCCAGGCTTTTTTTTTTTTTTGAGGTGGTTCCTCAAAAAATTAAAAACAGAATTGCCATATGATCCAATAATTACACTTCCAGGTTTACGTCCAAAAGAACTGAAAGCAGGGTCTCGAAGAGATTTTTGTATGTCCACTTTCATAGCAGCATTATTCACAGTAGCCAAAAGGTAGAAATAACCCCTAAGTGTCCATCGATAGATGAATGGATACACAAAATGTGGTATATACATACAGTGGAATATTATTCTAGCCTTAAGGAGGAAGGAAGTTCTGACCCATGCTGCAACATGGATGGACCTTGAGGATATTACACTAAATGAAATAGGCCAGTCAAAAAAGAACAAATACTGTGATTACACTTACACACGGTATCTAAAATAGTCCAATTCATAGGGACAGAAAGTAGAATGGAGGTTGCCAGGAACTGGGGACTTGTTGAATGGGTATAGGGTTTCAATTTTGCAAGACGAAAAAGTTCTGGAGATTGGTTGCACAACAACGTGAAATGCTTAACACTGCTGAACTGTGCACTTAAAAATGGTTAAGATTGTAAATTTTATGTGTATTTTGCCACAAATAAAAAAGTCCCAGGAAAGGGATTCGTTACCCCAGCTTGGGTCTGATGCTTACCATGGGGTCCATCAACCAGGCTAGGGATGGAGTCTTGAAAGAATTGGGCAGTTCCCATGGAAACCAAAGGATTGAGTGGAGGTGGAGTGATTCCCGGAAGTAGGGTGTGTGGGTTGGCAGGAGGGGAGGGCAACTGGACAGACCAGCAGTGGGTATCCACTATGGAGTTACTGCCTTCTAGTCAGCAACACACTTCTTTTTCTAGCAGCAGGGGTGATCTTACACTAAGTCTAAACTCCACCTGGGTAGTACTTGCCATTGTCTTCATCATCAGACATCTATCATAGTCATTCATTACACATTTGTAGCGTAGCACAGTTTTAACAAAGTTACATATCTCGTTGGTCTTTGCCAAAAATCTTGAAGTAGTTTCTGCAAATGAGGAAACAGACTCATACTATTTAAGTGACTTAATGTAGGGTTGGTGTCAGTTTAGTTGTAAGGGGCTAAGAGCCAATTTGAATTAATTTAGGTATAGAGAAAGATTTACTGGCTCATGGAACAAGTTGAACAACCAAGCCCCTCCTGAAGGGCAAGTCATGCAGCTGGGCATCAGAAACAACTGCCACAGTGACTCAGGCACTGCCAGCACTGCCTCTGCCTCTCCTTTCTCTTCTCTGCATACTGACTTCACTTTTTTCCTTCATGCAAACCAGTTTTCTTCAAATGATCATTGGAAGCTTCCACACCTCTCATCCTATAGCTTTTCCACGCTGTGAAGAAGTGGACCTGAGCCCCAAGTTTAAAAATCCCAAGAAAGTGGGGCCGGCCCGGTGGCGCAGCAGTTGAGTTCACATGTTCCACTTTGGCGGCCCCGGGTTCACTGGTTCGGATCTCGGGTGCGGACATAGCACCACTTGGCACGCCATGCTGTGGCAGGTCTCCCACATATAAAGTCGAGGAAAATGGGCACGGATGTTAGCTCAGGGCCAGTCTTCGTCAGCAAAAGGAGGAGGATTGGCAGCAGATGTAGCTCAGGGCTAATGTTCCTCAAAAAAAAATAAATAAATAAAATCCCAAGAAAGGACTCCAAGTAGAGCTGAATTCTGTTGTTTCCCCTGAATTAATCAGGAGAGCCAGTCACCTAAGAACATGGCAACTCCCTATAGAACCATATGACTAGAAGGGGGCTGGGGGAAAACCAGTTTTCAGAAAGAGGCTGGGCATGGTATTGATGCTAAAAATGAGACAATAGGTGTCCACAGCAGTGCCACAGGGCCAGTAAGTGGCAGATCAGGAGAGAAGCCCGGGTCCTCTGACTACAGCCTTTGGTGGCACATGCTAACTACTGAGTACTTCCCCTGCAAAAGGAAGGCCCTATCTACGCACAGCCGGTAGGACAGTGCATTCTCAGGTGTGAGGCTGGGATCAGCCTTTGAGCCACCAGATATGGGGTGATGAGCCGCCTGAAAGCAAGACTTGAAAGTCATTTAGGCCTATGTCTTTGGCCTGAGCTTCCTTATTAATATCAAGGGGATTGAGGGATAGAGATCTTTCTAGAAATGTTTGTGTGTCCTTATAGATCTGCATAATGAGGTAGAGTTACAGGAAAACCAGTGGGTTCTTTTTTTTTGAGGAAGATTAACCCTGAGCTAACTGCTGCCAATCCTCCTCTTTTTGCTGAGGAAGACTGGCCCTGAGCTAACATCCATGCCCCTCTTCCTCTACTTTATATGTGGGACGCCTACCACAGCATGGCTTGCCAAGCAGTGGCACATCCGCACCTGGGGTCTGAACCCTGGGCCGCCGAAGCAGAATGTGTGCACTTAACCGCTGCGTCACTGGGCCGGCCCCAAACCAGTGGGTTCTTGATGGCACATGGAAGTGCCAGCCCACCCTCTTCAGACTTTCACAATCAGAATCTTCACATGGTTTTGAGAAACTACCGTTTTGATAGTGACACTTGTAGCTTTCAATTGTTTTAAATGTCAGCATGTAAAGGATGCAGAGAAGTCAGTGATCATCTGGTTCACTTGTTTTCAAACTTATTTTAGCTGTGTATCCTTTTGTTTTCTTCCTCTAATGAAACCTTATCTGAACTCCAATATATAACATGGATCGAAGCAGAGTGGCTTGGGGTCTGGGCGGGTCACAGAGGCCTCTGAACCCTCTGATTCAGTCTGCTCCCCTGCGGAACACACCTTGAAAATCACTGATCTAGATTGCCATTTTATTTCTCAGATGGAGAAATTGAGGCCCAGAGGGGTTAAGTGGGTCACCACAGTAGCATAAAGCGTAGCAGAGCCGTAACTGAAACTCTGGTCTCCTGGCTTAGGAATTGTGTTCTTTCTACGGTACCATGCTGCTTCTAGCATTTTGGGATGAGCACTCCAACAAAGTAGTTGTCCTTTTCTTCAGGTGCATGATAACTTGGACTGGACTAACATGAAGGCAAGTAGAGGACTTTGGGAGCCTAATCTAATGAACAGATACAAGCTTTATAATCAGGAGCAGCTGTTTGTTAATTTATTTAACAGATTTAATGAATGCTTACTGTTCACCATTCTAGGTGCTAGAGATATATCAGTGAACAAGACACTGCCTGTCTTCAAAGAGCTCACGTCTTTCATACTGTTTCAATGGATAATAGAGATATATATAATGGAGAAGCATATGAAAGGTGAATATATTTATGTTATGATAGAGATGCTGTAGTAGAGATATTTGGGGAATGTGCAGGGTGGTACCTGACTCAGTTCAGAGGAGTCTAGGAAGGCTTTCTGAGTAACTGGCTTCTAAGGAAACACCAGGAAGAGTAATAGGGTGAGCCAGGTAGGGGAGTGGAAGGAGAAAGGCTGGGGAGGTCTGCAGGAACCAGGTCATAGAGAGCCCTGTAAACCATTAACCCTGAGAAAACAACATGGGATGTGTTTCCTGGAGAGATCTCATTGGTGCAATGCGGAGACTGAATTGGCTGGAGACAGTCTAGAGGCAGGGGCGTGGTTAAAGTGTGCAGCAGGTCTTGATGGACTTACAGGACTTGATGCTTGGTTAAATACTGGTGGTGAGGGGAAAGAAGGGGCCAAGAATAAGGCTCAGGTTTCTCACTCGAGCAGTTGATTGATGGTGGTTCCTTTGGCCAAGATGGAGAACACTGGAAGAAGAGCAGGATTGTGGGCTGAGGGCAGAGGATGAGTTTAGTTTGGGACTTGGTGAGATTAAAGTGTCTATGGAGAACCCTAATGGAAAGTACAGAAAGGAACTGGATATTCACGTTGAGCCCAGAGAGAATTCTGGGCTGGAGATAGGGATTTCTAAGTTCTCAGCACGGATGATATTTCAAGCTGTGGAAGATGAGGTCACTCAAGCAGGAGGTGTAGTGAGAAGAGAAAAGGCCTAGAACAGAACTTGAGGAAGGTCAACAATTATGGAAGAGAAACTTGCATTGGAAACTGAGGAGGGAGAGGGGAGAACCCAGGAGGCTGCGATCACGGTCACGGAGGTTGTATGGAAAGAGGTTTGAGACGGGCGTCATCAGCAGGCAAGCACGTAGAGGCCATGGCCGCCAAGGAATGAGAAGCCTTCAGTGGATTTTAGTGATGAGCACGTCAGTGGTAACCTTGGTAAGAGAGGTTTCAGTCAGTGGTTAGAAAATGGAAGCCATATCTCAGTGGTTTGAGGAGAGAGTGGCCATAGTGCGTGTGGTCAGCTTTTTAAATTATGAAAGGAAAGAGCGTGGTCGCCAGAGGGAGGCCTGGAGTGGAAGGAAGCTGCTTTCCTTTATTTCTGAGAGACTTGAATGTGTTTAAGTGCTACTTGGAAGGGGCTAATAGTTGTAAGTACCAGAAAATGGTTTCCTCCTTTTGTGAAAGGTATGGAGGAACGTCTGTGCCAGTATGACAGAGCTCCTCCTTGACGTTGTCTGCAGCTGGAGGTAGAGTGACCAACTCTGCTTTGTGTGGGACTTCCTGGTGTTAGCTCTGAGTCCCATATCCTGGGAAACTCCTCAGTCCGGGCAAGCCAGGATGGTTGGTCACCCTTGGGGTAGAGGTCCCTCCATCAGGATAAGTAAGGAATATTCTGCAGTTGCAAAGAGGGTGGTTTACCATTTCTCCAAAGATTTAGAGGAGCTGCCTGCCTCAGAAAAATACCTGTTGCAAGGAAGAGAAGGAAATGTAGTCAATTCCTGATTGATGTTTCAGTAGCCTTCAAAAAGATGGTACATAATTAATTCAGCATCAGCAATTCTGCAAATGAAATAATCTGAGATAAGGAAATATAGAGGAGCTTAAAAATGTGGCTATTAAATTAAAAACCACATGGAAGCCCTGAATGCCAAGTTGAACACAGTAGATCGACTTGGTAAAGAAAACAAATTTCAGATGGTCCCAGAACACAGAGGAAACTGATGAAGACATGAAAATAAGATAAAAGAGGAGATACGGATGGAAAGAACAATGAAAGGTGAATTTTAAGAATTCAAGAATGACTGGACTAGTGATTAATAATGAATAATGACTGAAAACACGTTGAGTGCTTACTCTGTGGCAAGCACTTTGTAAACCCTTTACGTGTGTGAACTCATTTAATCCTCAAACCACACCATGGGATTTGTACTGTTATCCTCCCCATTTTGCATACAGGGAGACTGCAACACAGGTCAGTTCAGCGCCTTGTGCAAGTTTGCACAGGTAGGAAGTGAGGAAGCTGGTGGCCCCAGGCGCTCCTGCTCCAGCGCTAAGGCTCTGAAGTTCCGTGCTGCTCCGCCTCGTGCTGTTACATTGAAACCAAAGCGTTCAGGCTTCTCTTAGAGTGCTTTTTGGTGTCGCCTAAGTGCCAGGCACAGTGCTGCTGCTGGGAAGATATCGGAGAGTGAGACAGACTAGGTCCCTGCTCACATGGAGCTTATGCTCTAATATGGAGAGAAAGAAAATAAACTAGTAAATGAGAGAGCTTTAACAAGTATTAAGTCCTAGGAAGGAAAAATGGAAAAACAAGGCAGAGAGTAACTAGAGTTGTGTGTGTTTTGAGGTGGGCGTTACTGTTTTAGATGGGACAGCAGGGAAGACCCTCTGAGGAGGTGACGTCACCTGAGTCCTGAATGATGTAGAGTCCACTGTGCAAAAATATGGGGCAGAGGGAACAGCAAGTGCAAAGGCCCTTTGCACAGAGGCGGGAATGCGCTTGGCAGATTTGAGGACTAGCCAGGCCAGTGTGGCTACCAGCAGAGTGAATGTCGGGGAGATTGTAAAGGATAAAGTTGGAGAAGTAACCAGGGGCTAGACCAGGTAGGGCCTGATAGGCTACGGTGAGGATTTTGAATTTTATTCTAATTGCCAGTGGAAGGAGTTAAAGAGGGTTTTATTTGTTTGGTTTTCTGTCTGTTTGTTTTTAGCAGGGGAAGAGTGTACTCTGATTTGCATGATAAAAGATAAGTGTGGCTGCTAGGTGGAGAATGGGCTGTAAGGCAGAAAGGGATGTGCACTGTGGAAGCAGGAAAAAGTGTAATGTTCTGGCCGGAAGCAGGGGCTGGAGCTCAGAAGTTTTGGGTGGGTTAATGGTTAATGCTGGCTGTCTCTCTGCCTTGGGGCATCCCCTCCCCAGCTTATCTAATCACGTTCACTAATTTACAGAGAGATGAAGGCTCCTTTCTGGAAAAATAGATCAGAGATTCCAACCCCCTCAGAGGTAAGAAATACCCCATCCCCCTGGGTCCTAGCTGATTAGAGCAGACCCGAGGCCAGGCCAGTCAGACTGCTCCCAAGAATTTCAAATTGCAACACCGTCTTTCCTGGGTACACTGGAACACGGAACTGTGATGTTTGGGCATATGCACAAAATAAATATTGGTTGTATGAATGAGTACGTGGCAGGAGGATCTGCAAAGCGGGAGAAAAGAAGCAGATATGTGAGGGAAACCCAGACCAGGAGAGAGGCTCCTGGTTTCTGAGCCTCCCGAGGGCTAAGGTGCTGCCTTGCGTTCCTGGATGCCGCTGTTTCCTTATTAAAAGCGCCATGTTTGCTTAAGTGGATTTCTTTCAGGTGCAACCCAAGGACCCGTGTGCCAGGGCGTGCACATTATTAGCTCCTGTCCTGTGTGGCCACATACTCTCATCTGTGGTGGTGCCCTTATTTCCCACAGCCTCATCAACTTAGGGCTTTGTCACCTATTTTTGTTTTTTCGCGTTTTATGGGCATACAATGTTAGCTTAAGGTAATTAACTTGCATTTATTTTATTCACTGGTGAGACCATCATTTTTCTGAGATAACTTCATATTGTTTACAGTGTCAGCCCTTTCTGAGTAGACTCCGGGTTCACACTTACACACTTAATTCAGTTATTTGGATAATAAACGTGTATCTGGTGTGTGGTTTTTTTTTTCTTTTGGTACACATATTTTTCCACATTCTCTTTGTTTGCTTTTTTATATTCAACAGAAGATAAAGTACCAATTATCCAAGGACCAAGCATCCTTTGAATTCTCACTGTATGTCAGCCGTGGCATGTAAGACGGGCATGTCAGGGTTCCTCTGTCCCTTCCTTTGCCCACCCTAGAGAAGTTGATTTGCCTGCTCTCTTAGGCCACAGGCCCTGAATGATCTCATCTGCCATCAAGCCGTAGCTCCCACCTGTTCTACAGGCCGAGCAGGCTTTGTTTTTGTTTAAGTGATATATGACTTTTACCCCATGCACTTTGTGTTCAGTGTTTGAATGTTCACTGTGACGCATGGGAAACTCCACGGAGTGATTTCTGCCACTGTCAGAAACACCTTGGTTGTCCCCAGGTATACCTTGAGTTAAACTGGCTTATATACTACACTTCATCTTCAGATGGACCAGTGGGACAGGGCAGCCCTTCAGGAGCTTAACCACTACACCATCCGGCCAGCCCCCCCTTATCCTTCTAATTACACCTTGTGTGCCTCTCTCTTGGTTAAAAGTTTTTATTGACTCCCCTTTGCCATCAGGATAAAGTCGGAGCTCCTGATGGAGTACAAGGTGTGTGGTCTTTCTGCTCACTCCTTCAGCCAAGTTTCCCGCCACCCATTACAAAGCTACTTTCAGTTCCTCAAGACAGAACAGTGTGGGCTATAGAGCTTCTGGGCCAAACTTAGGTTTGAATCCCAGCTCTAGCACTTGCCATATGTGAATTGTGGAGCCAATAACTTAACCACTGTGTGCCTCAGTTCCATCTTTTTAAAAATCTGGCTCTCTGAGGTTATTGTGATGATTAAGTTAGTATCTTAAAAGTACTTCCTAAAACAGTGCTTGGCACACAATTAGCCTTTCTTCCGTCATTCGATGTTCGTTCGGTCCCATTGATGCTGTCTGGAATGCTCTCCCCACACCCTTATTTCCCTGGAAATTCTTACTCATCCTTTCAAGGCTCAGCTCAATATCACCTCCTCTGCACAGGCCTTTCTGCTGTCTCCTCTCACCCCATGCCAGAGCTCTGGGAACACTGCACACCCAAACTAGAGACCTATTTTGTTGCCTTCCCAGTAATTTGGTGATCTGTGTAGGAGGAAAACATCTTGAAATACTAATATTTGTGCTTTGCTTTTCCACACTTCCTTGTATGTGACCCTCCCCCAAGTCATTCACATTGCCTTCAAGAATTAATATTTTTATAGTACAAATGCAAAGAGAAAGGGGGGAAAAAAGCCTGTGTTTAGTTTTTCAACTTCCAAACTAGGCTTCATTGTGGACACCCACATGGACTTGATAGTGAAAGCCAAGTGGTGGGCTTTATGGAGAGAAGGGATTCTGAGAACCCACAGGAATGTTTCTAAAGGAAGCAGGGTGTAAAGCTTATGCCTTCATAGTGGGCTAGAAAGAGCCTAGCAGGGTGCCTGGCCCGTCCTGCTCATGGGAAGGCTGGTTAGGGGTCACTCAGGTGGAGAACAGGGACAGGACTTGATCTTGCAGGAGCTCAGAGTGGTCTGAGATGGAATCAGAGACGTGGAGAGGAGCAGAGTCCGCATCAGGAGCCTGCCCAGCGGCAGGGCCAGCTCGTGTTATGACAGCCAAGCCAACATCGGTAACCGTCCCTGGCCCCCTGGGTCCACTGCCATCTCCTGTGCTGAGGAGCCACAGTCACTATTCTGCTCTTCACTTGCTGGGGATGTCCTCTTGCCAGCTGCCTGCTATTGCCCTCGAATAACCCAACAGCAGAGATGCCCACCCACACCATGCCCCATCTGAGCCATTTCTTGTGGATACCCTCTTTTCGTAACAGTTCAGGAACCTTATAAACCTCATAAAACAAAAGGTAGGATCTTGACACTGAGTATCAATGGTGTGGGAAAGAAAGTCCCCAGCCCCTGAACTTAGGCAGAACTGGGCATTGAGGCTGACCTGTTTCACACGACTACATGCAAAGCCAGACTGAGCCTCCCGGAGGGCAGCAAGCATTGAGTTGGACCATCTCTGTATCCCTAACACATGGCTGGTGCTTGGTAGATATTTATTATGTCAAAGAATGAATGAAAATCGCAATCTAGTGAGGAAGACAGAGAAATAATTATAGTACATATTATCTAATGCTGTGATAAAGGAAAGAGCTGAGTGAACAGAAGAGGAGAAGGGTTCAGAGACGTAAGGGGTTCCCTGAGGCAACACCAGGACTGGTGCACAAGTCTCTTGACCCCCTCCAGAGCACCCCTGGAGTAGACAGATGCTCTTGGGCATGTCTGCTCAGCCCATGCTGTTGTCTCTGGGCACTAGACTGCCCACAGGCCGGGATTCCTGGCAGGCTCCTCAGCCGTAGTTGCTGGGCTCTCGGCTCATGACCCAAACGGGACACTGGGTCTCCCTCCCATGATTTTGCTGTTAGGATTCAGAGATGCCAGTCCCTTTCTGCTGGTCACCTGAGCTGAGGACTGAGAGCCATGTTCGACCATGTGTTCAGGAAAGTGGAGAATGGTGAGCTCAGAGAGGAAGAGAAGCTTCCTGCTGAAAAGCTCAATGGCTTTTGAAATCCTGGTTCTCATTCCTGCTGAGGCCTGGTTGCCCCCTACCCTTGGGTTCCATGTGACACTTCTGAAGACTTGGATTAAATTCCTCTCTTTTGCTTAAGCTGGCCTGAGTGGTTTCTATTCTGTGCAACCAAGAGTCTTGACTAACATTATCCCCATTAATGTCAACATCATGATCGCAGCAGATACTCCCACAGCTTGTACAGTGTCCCACACTTTGTTCTCAGAGCTTTATGTGTAATAACTTGTTCAATCCTCCTAACATTCCTATGAGGTAGGTACAACTATCGTCCCTAGTTTTCAGATGAAGAAACTTAGGCACACAGAGGTTAAGTAACTTGCCATAGTCAGACAGCTGGTAAGTGGTAGAGCTGGGATTCAAATCTAGACAGAACCTATGTCCAAACTCGCAGTTTTATCATATTTTGTTGAGCAAAAGTTTGTATTTTTATATTTTTTAACCCATTCTCCTGGAAGAATGTAGTTCTAAACGCCAAACACCACGAGGAACCCTGAGTGAGTCCCTAGTGCTGACATGAGGCCGGGTGGGCTGGGCGCCCGGCCCACTCTGTCTGCCCCACAGCTCGGGCCTCTCACTTTGCCGGGCCCAGCAGAGGAAGCGCGGCAAGGAGCTGCTGAGCCAGGGACAGGGCTTGGCGGCAAAGCAGCTTGTGCGGCGGGAGGCGAGAGCCGCGCCCTGGCACCTGGCAGGCAGCCCAGCCCCACCGTTGAGAAAATACCTGGAACAAAGGAGTCCTCCCGCCACGACTGGCTGCCTCTCCTAGTGCCTGCAGCTCCTCAGCTGAGGAATCTGACCTCCGAGCCAGGCCAGGCCGGGTCCTTACACGGCCTCAGGAGGCTGCAGAGAGGCCTCGCTGCCCAGCCTGGAACACCTTCCTCCCTGCCCTGGGTGGGCGTCCCCAAGGGAGGCCCTCATCACACCGCCTGCCGCGTGGGTTCCAGGCTTACTTCCACCTAGGGCCTCTGCTGGGCTGCTGGAACTTCCTGTTACTGCAGCTCTCCCCTGTGGTGTCCGGGGCAGGTGGCTTCACGGTTCTAGGGCTTGGAATCGCCCCAGCCGGGAGGTCCGTCTCGTAGCAACGGCTTGTCAGAGGTGTAGACTGGACAGATGTGTCTCTGGTGAATAACCAGTGACCCTGCAGAGGAATTTGGCCATCATCACCAGCAGATATTTGGGTGGCGTAAATCTGGACTAGGGGGCTGGGAGAATAAAAAGTGGAGAAGACTCTGCGCCCCCGGGAGTGGTGGTGTGGTTCTTGTTGGACGTATCTTGAGCAAAGCACCAGAAGCTCCTCTGAGAAGAGGCCCAGCCTCCTGAGGGGGTGGCCAGCCTATGACTAGCTCCTTCTCCTTTCTTCCCTCCTCGTGAGCAAGACCTCAGGGGCATAGACCTGGAAAAGAGACCACCTCACTGCAACTCTTTCGTTCAAACGGGGACTGGCCCGGGAGCCCCAGGCCCAACTCCCAGGCCCAGGCCAGCATCAAGCCTTCCCCTAACGATGTGCTTTAGTGACTGCTGCCATCAGGCCCACTGCCATCCCATGGAGTGCCTATGATGATTCAGAAAAAGAAGCTGTTTCCTCCAGGTGGACACAGCCCTCCTCCAGGGCCCCCAGCGGTGCCAAGTGGACCAGAGTGTGGGACTGGACTTTACGCCCCACTGGCTTCTCATCTGTGTGAGCTTGTGCAGACCCAACGTGCGCTGTCTTTTGCAAGGGCAACACCTGTTAGGATAATCCCCAAACCATGACCTTCAGCCCTGATTCCCACGCCAAACCCTGGCCCCTCTGACCTGGATAGTCCCCTGGCTGGACAAAGGAGGTCATTCCAGGGATGGCCCCTCTCCACTGGCCTGAACCAACTTTAGACAGCATGGCAAGAACTCAGGAGGGATGTCCTAGAAGCAGCCCCCCCACACCATTGGCAGGAGCCTTCTTCCCAGGCAGAACCCTCTGGCCCTGGAGCCCCTGGCTGAGGGAGCTCCCAGTCCTGTGGGTAGCCCTGAGGCTATTAGACGGCAGAATGCTGTCTGGGAGATGCTCTGACTTCTAACGTGAGATTCTATGTGGAAGATAAGCAAGCCCTGGTCAGGCAGAGGTGGCACTGAGCCTGCCCCCACAGGCCTGGCTCTCTGCCCCTTGTGCTCACTGCTCAGACCCAGGGAGCCCGTAGGCTCTGGGCTTGGCCCACCTCAGTATCTGCTGGTTCCACTCCCTGTCATTTGCCTCAGGGCCCAGGGCGTGGCACCCTCTGTCCACTACGGGGCCAGATCAGAGTGTATCCTGCGCAAATACTTGCTCAGATGAATGAGTAAAAGAATTGTCTAAAGAAAGAGGCCCTCCAGAGGCAAGTGTGGGCACCAGGGCC